TGCCACCCCGTGGCCACCGCGCCCACAGCCCGGAGTCTCTCGGGGCGCAGAGGGCTGGCCCGGGGGTCCCAAAGGATGTGGGTGTCACCAGTGGGAGCTGCAGCATCTCAGCAGGGACTGGGTGGCCCTGGGTGGCCCCAGATGGGCATCTCCAGTGGGAACTGGAGCATCTTGGGGGGGTCCCCCAAAGACGTAACTACCGCTGGTGGGAGCAGGAGCACCTTGGCAGGGACTTGGGTGGTCCTGGGGACAGGGTGACCATGGGGATCCCCCAGGATGCAGGAACCACCCATGGGAGCAGCATCTTGGCAGGGACCGGATGGCTCTGGGACAGTGTGGCCTGGGGACAGGGTGGCCTTGGAGATCCCCCAGAGATGTGGGTTCCGCTGGTGGGAACTGGATCATGTCGGTGGGGACTGGAGGTCCCTCACGGATATGGGCACCACCAGCTGTAGCTGGAGCATCTGGGTGGGAATGGGTGGCCCCAGAGGACACAGAGCACAGTGTCACTCACGTGGCTTGGGCTTGAGGAAGCCATTGCTCACGTCATCGCAGGTGACAGGGACACACTCGCCACTCTCCTCCCTGTAGATGTCGAACTCCCCGGCCAGCGTGTGGATCACCACGGGCAGGTCCCGCTCCCGCACCTGCTCCAGGACGTGGGATCAGGGCCTGCACTGCCACCCCTCCCGCAGGGCACACAGGGACCGTCACTCACCAGGATGAAGTCGGTCTGGTACGTGGAGAGCATCAGCACCGAGACGTGGTGCTCGGCCAGCGGCGCGATGACGGAGCGCGCGATCTTGGTGACACCGGTGGCCTGGCAGCCGGGGGCCTCCCGCCCGTTGGAGACGACGCTGAGCACCAGCCACGTGGAATCTGCCACCTGCATGAACTCGGAGGGCGGCAGCTCTGCGAGGGACAAGGGACACTGAGGCAGGCGGCTCCACAGGGCTCGGCACAGAGGCGGTGCCAGCTCGGGCACTGTGTGTCACGCTGTCCCCGGGTGATGAGCAGACCCAAGGCAGGATCAGTGCCAGGTGTGGGGATACTGGTTTGGGGGTGCAGATGAGCTCCATCCACAGGGGGAAGGAGCCAGACGGGGCTCAGCTGCTCCACAATGGGATTTGACCATAGGGATGAGGGGGGCCAAGGCTACAGCTCCCACAAACCCCAAGATGTGTCTCTCCTCCCTGTGCCAGCACCCCAGGCTGGGTACATGGGGGTGTTGGCCCTGCACCCCAAAAAACAGCACCACCAGGGCCCTGGGGCTGCCCAGCTCATCCTCTGCACCCCAGGAGCCCCCAGCACAGCTCCCACCGCCAGAGATGCACATGGGGCACTGGAGGAGACAAGGGGAGGGTCCTCCTTCTGTCCTGGGGGTCCCACCTGGTGTCTGCCTGGTGGAGAGAGCCCAGGCTGGCAGAGGGCCACAGCTGCTTCCCAAAACTCTGCTGGTGTTGGCAGGGTGGGCACATGCCAGATGCTCCTGCCTCCCACCCCCCTCGCTGCCACCCTCCTGCCCAGGAGAGGGGCTGGCACCACTCAGCCAGGCTGTCCCCTCCTCTCTGGGCTCCCTTTCCCAGCGAGGGACGGGCCAGGGCACCCAAGGGGTCTCCAATCCACTCCTCCCATCCAGGAAAGGTGGGAGCAGCTCCCACGGGAGATCACACAATCCCCGGCCCCCAGTGCCCAAGCCCCGCCGAGACCCCGAACTCATCACACCAGTGCTGGAGGCGGAGGTCGCACGGGGGAGGGTCCCCACCCACGGAGGGGGACCCCAGCAGGGGACAGGCTCTGTACCCCTCTCCCAAACCCGGCCCGGGGCAGGGCGGGAGCGGGGCCGGATCCAGGGCCTCGGCGGGTGTTCCCAGCGCCGGTTCCTGTGCAGGAAGCGCCAGAACAGCCTCGGCTCGGGCCCAGGGCCCACTGCTGGGAACAGGGGGGCGGGACAGGGACTCGGGGACATGGGGACCTGTCCCAGAGCTCAATGTTTAATTGCTTTTCAACACCACCCTGGGCGAGGCTGAATGCGAGGGGACCCATCTGTCCCCGTGTCACCCAGCCCAAGGCTTAACCCTGATCCCCAGGGGAAGAGGGGGTGCAGCTCTCCTCGGCTGGGGGTCCCCCGGCAGCGGGGGGACACCGGCAGCCCCCAGCACAGGGGGGCTCACAGGGCACTGCGGGGCCGCGGGCTCGCAGCACCATTGTTCAGCACTTCCCGCCCTCCCCTCGGGATTGAGGAATATTTGTCCGAAGGCCCCGAAATAAAACAATACATGGGGAACAGCTCTGGCTCCGGGAGAGCCCGGACGCGGTCCCGTCCCGCAGCAAAAGGAGGTGAGCCTGCGACCTGGTCCTGAGTGGCCGCAGCACCGACCCTCGTTCCTTGGGTCACGGCCAAGGATCCGCTGCCCCCGGTTCCTGCGGCCTCGGCAGGAAGGTTTGGGCGTGGGAAGCCGGGCCGGATCCGGACCCTCCGGCTCAGCCCGCTGGGCCGGTACCCCCGGCAGGACCGGTGGTGAGGGTGATGCTCGGCACACGCCGGGGCACCAGCGGTGGGGACGTCACCAAATGACACATCCCTGGGAGAGAGACTGGCTTGGAAGGGATCAAACCTCCCCAGGACACC